TAAATTCGACAATCTACCCGTCGTCCGGGGAATCCAACCTTCAGGGGTACAACGAAGATACTTAGCATTAATCACACGAGCCCAGAGACTCTCCGGCTCGGTCAATAACCTCCATGCGATCTTCAACATAAACGCTTCATTCATTCGGGTGGCGTTCTGTAAACCCAGCCCCCCATCCCCCTTCGATCTACACAGAGTGTCCCAGTCAACAAGATGAATCTTCCTCCCCTGTTCGGAGCTCCCCCAGATGAAACCCTGGATCTTCTTGTCGATGTATTCCCGAACAGCGGCAGGGAGAAAAGAAGTCTGCATTATATACGCTGGAAGAGCTCCCAAAACCGACTGAACAAGGGTGATCCGTGCCGCTAAGGAGAGGGTTGCCACCTTCCAACTAGCCAACCGTGCATCAATCTTATCAATCAAGTCCACAAAGGTCGCCTTCGAGACTCGATCGTGGATCACCGGGACTCCCAGGTAACGACCGAGGTTAGAGGTATGCGGGATGTTGAGAGCCTCGCTCAGGCTCCTACAATCTGTATCAGTGACATTTTGGGAGAAAAAGACCCTGGATTTAGGCTTGCTGACTTGTTGTCCAGACGCCGCTCCAAAATCTTCAAGGCACTGCGAAATAGTCTGAACCTGCTCAAGAGAGGCAACACCAAATAATATGAGGTCGTCAGCAAAGAACATGTGTGACAGAGAAGGTCCTGCATGATTCAGCTTGATCGGTTTCCATTTTTTCTCCTCCACTGCGGCAGTAATAATGTGGCCCAACCGCTCCATACAGAGAGTGAATAAGTACGGGGAGAGGGGGCATCCCTGTCTGAGACCTCTAGATGGGACGAATTCTTCCATAAGGCCCCCGTTCCATTGGATTTGCATGGATGCCGTAGAAACACAACTCATGGTAATCTCAATGAACTTCGGCGGTGCACCTGCTGCTACCAGTGTATCCCGCACGAAGCTCCATTTAATGCGATCATAGGCCTTTGCAAGGTCAATTTTGAGTACCATCCATCCCGTCCTCCCCTTTTTTGCCCGCATCGAATGAACAACCTCCTGCAAAACAAAAATATTATCAGTAATATGTCTCCCAGGCACGAAACTCGTCTGAGTTTCATGGACTAGCCGGGGCATGATTGGCTTCAACCGCTCAGCGAGACACTTCGTGATCATCTTGTAGGACACATTACAGAGACTAATAGGCTGAAAATGCTCTATCAGGGTAGGCCGCTGTAATTTGGGGACCAAAGCAATAATCGTAGCATTAATGTTCTTGATCATAGCTGGCTCGTTCCAACACGATTGAGCAAAAGAAACCACTTCTTCACCGACCAAATTCCAACACTTCTGATAAAACAGCGGATTGAGACCATCCTTCCCTAGAGCTTTCAAGGCTCCCATAGCTCGGATAGCGCTGTGGAGTTCTTCTGCAGTAAACTGGGGCTCGACTGCCTGCCAAAGTTCGACCGGGATGGATGGGAAAGCTCCCTGAATGACGCTTACAGGCAGGCCGTCGTCAGTATAAAGGTCCGTGAAAAAATGGCGAGCCATGTCAAGGAGTATAGCTGGGTCATCCACCCACTCACCGTCGCTGTTTTTTAACACGGTGACCCTATTCCCCCGCTGCCGCTTCATTGTTCTCGAGTGGAAGTATTTTGTATTTCGATCCCCTGAGGTGATCCAATCCAGGTTCGATTTCTGACACCACAATAGCTCCTCCTGAGTGAGGATATCTTCCAGCTCATCTCGTGCCTGACGCAAGGCCATGTTGTTCTCATCACTTCCAGTACGAAGCTCCAGCCGTTCAATCTTAGCGAGCAGTTTGTTTTTCTTCATAATAATATTCCCAAAGGTATGGGTGTTCCCAGCTTTAGCCTCCTGCGCAAACTCCTTAATGGAGCTTAACAAGTCAGTACCTCTCCTCCAAGCCCGCTCGGCCATATTCTTGAAATCATCGTGCAATAGCCAAGCTGTGAGAAACTTGAAGGGTTTCGGTCCTGCAGGCTGGAATTGCGGGTTCAGGGAGAGCAGCAGCGGCCGATGATCACTTTTAACTCTGGGGAGATGACAAACTATTGAGTCCGGGAAGATAGATGACCATACTGAGTTGACGAGACCCCGGTCAAGTCTCTATTTAATCCCTGAACAGAACCACGTGAACGGCGGGCTAGTAAATCCAAGATCAAACAAGCCCGCATCCAGGACACAATCTTGGAATTCCCGAGCTCGAGTGGCATCAAAGGTAGCACCCCCCATCTTGTCAGAGGGCTGTAAAATTGAGTTGAAATCACCCGTAAGAAGCCATGGATCAACCATATCCTCCGCCAAATTACGAATCGACTGCCAGAGACTCCTTCGTTGAACTAGAGTTGGATCAGCATACACTGCCGTTAAGAACCATAAATCCTGGCCACTTTGAACTTGAACGTGGAGGAATTGTTCAGAACGATCCGCCTCTGTTACCGAGAGAACAGAGGAGTCCCAGGTGATCCATATGCCTCTGGCAAAGCCCACTGCCTCGACGACGAGCCATTTATCATAACCCATTTTCTGCAGGACTGCATCAGCCTTAACCCCACTGATAGGCGGCTCCACAATGATAGCCATAGACGGTCTATATCTCCTTTTGTATTCTCTAAAGACTCTGAGGAAACGTTTCCCTCCCGCACCCCTACAGTTCCATGAAAAGATGTTCAGCATCATCTAAACATAGCAGTAAAGGTCCCCGCTTGCGCAAAGAAATCACGATTGCATGCTGGAGTCCCCAGGCTTGGGGCTTCCTTGCATCACTGGGGTTGCATCCTGTTTATTCTCATTGGTGCCGGCCTTCAGTGTAGGATTCATCTCGTGTCCAGAGGAGTTTTGTACATCCGGAGGCCTTGTCATACCATCCACAGGCAGGGACGAGTTTTGTGCCGCCACCAAGTCAGAGGGGGCTGAATTGTCTCCATCCACTACCGACCGTCTTTGTTCCTTCTCTCCCAACGAGCTCACCGGGGTCCTCTCGCTCCTCAAATCCCCATGCAGAGGTTCGGTCCCATGAACGTTCTCGCTGGACTTCCTAGTGACTGCCTGCCTGGTGGTTTGTTCGGCAGGAGAAGCACTCTTACTAGGTTGTCGCGTATGAACCACGGGACTCGCATCTTTCTGCTTTGCTTTTTGTCCGGGCTTCTCTGGAGGAATCTGCCGAGAGGGTCCAGCTGTAGTATTTCCGACTATGTTGCTTCGTTCCTCTTCCATGTGTACATCACTTTGCTGATCATCACCTCCATCCGCTGTAAAAACAGTGTACCGCGACCCGCTGTTGGAACTAGATGATTTGTTCTTTGGCAGCCCGCCTTCTTTCCCAGCAGCCAAAGAGCCCGCATCCTTCCTTGGTCGAACCTTTCTTTTGGCAATCATCCACTCACCATAAAGCCCTTCCGGAGGGTTGGGAAGCACAGATTCCTTCGGTAGTTCAGCAGCTGGTGTATCCTGGGACTCGGTTTCCATGGTCGCCCCCTTAAAATGACAAGAGCACTTGCCTCTATTCGTGTAGGTGCCACACTGTAAGCATATGTTCTCTAGTCCCTCGTATTGAATGAAGTACGTCTTCCATTGATGGTAAATTGTGACAATAGCGGCTTGGTCAAGTCAACTTGCACACAGACCCTTGCGTAGTCACTTCTAGCTCCCATGCTAGTGGCATGGTCAACTCTCAGCGGCTTCCCAATGCGATGCACAATCTTCATAACTGCCACCGGATGGAAGTACTGAATCGGAATCTCCAATAGCCGAGCCCAAACTAGGGTTGATGAAATCTCATGCTCATAAGCATTAAAGTCCTTTGTCCAATGATGAACAGTAAGGTAATTATCCCCCATCATCCATGGACCTCCTGCTACAGCTCTCTCGAAGTTCAAACCATTGGTGAATCTTGCGAGGAAGTATCCATTCTTGGCGGACGTGACCTGGATACCTCCTGCCTTCACCCAGATACTGTTGAGCCTTTTCGCCATGAGGGTATAGGATACCGACCGCCCCAGCGCCTTCACCACGAGAGCCGACCTCCATTCCCGGTTGAACATACGTTCCTCCGCAGCCGTGAAGTAGATGGCAGGGCATTTTGGGTCCACCTCGCCGTCAAAGCCCGTCTCCCTACCATATTCTCTTAGCCCCGCAGCCACATCTTCAGAGTCGGAATCGGCCACGTACCACATACCTGTACGTACAGCATCGCCAAAAAGAGTTTTCGCCGCTCCCGCGTTAGAACCCCATGCAGAGGGGCGAGGGCTAGCTGGTGGCGGTGTCTTGCTCGCATCATCATGCGCATCATGCAGAACTTCATCACAAGTCTCACCTTCCGGAAATAGCACTGTTTGTTTTGCCCGTTTCTTGGTCTGTTGAGCCTCTTTCTCGCCCTTTGGATTGGGGGAGGAGGAAGCTGAGGGAGGTCGACGTTGCCCTGCAAGCGTATTAGACTATCAGCTGACATGGGGCTATCCGTGCCCCCGCCGGCTAGTGGCGTACCCACCGCCAGCATGGAGAGGAAGGACGAAACCCTAGAGCGCTCTTCGCAAGAGTTTTTCGCCGCTCCAAAATTTTCGGAGCTGCCTTTACTCTGTGAGAGTGTTCTACAAGCAACTTTGTTGTATATATTAACCTTATATATTATATATCTAATACTTAATTTTACACAAATCATTATATACATTAATAAAATTCATTTTATACTTTTATTTTTAAGCATCTAATTGTTTAGTATTAGTTACCAATTCTTAGCTATAAATTATTTTGTGTGAAATAATTTTTCTAATTGCTTTTTGTTGACTAATTTATTTGGAATTGAGGATTTCCATTTGTCTCGTATATTTTATTAAAACCGGTACAACCGGCGTGAATACTAGTTGTACTACGGTCGGACCATTCCACTTTCAAAACCAACACACCGGCATAAACCGGTTTGACAACCTTGCACTATAGCCACATTGGAGCCGGAGAGATGCCAAAAGATGCGTTTCGGTCATTCGGCATTAAGAGTCTCGCTGCGCTACTCCATTTCCTTCTCCTGTTTTCTTCTTAGGGTGGATGGTTGGGCAAAACAAACGTCAAATTTCAATAAAATCCCAGTAGAAAAAAGCAGAAACTCTCGAGACTTTGTGAAGAGAAAAGGACGATTAACATAAGGGAAAATCTGAAGCTCCCACCTTGAATCCCTACTCTTCCCACTCCAGAGAAGAAGAAAACAACAGAGGAAGGCGGTTTCTTCTAATTTCCCTGCTAACAGCAGCAGCCCAGCTATTAAACTCAGCTCAAGAACCGTACTCAGATCTCTACTGCGCTCCTTTGTTTTTTCTGCAGATCTCCCTTCGTCACACTACTTTGAAAGTCTAGGTCTTCCCTTCTGCAATTTTTTTTTGTTATTCTCTTCATTCCCGTATTGGTTCTTCGACGAATTTATGCAGCTTTTAGGGGAGGTTTTTGGGTACATGCACTCATGCCGTGATGGGTTTTTCTCTCTTTGTATTGATTATAATTTTGTGGGTTTTTTTTTGGTTTTCAGCAATCGAAGGGCTTCTTTACAATTTGTGAGTTTCCTCCATGGCCATGGAGGCGAAGGTTGCAGCTGATGCTGATACCTGAAGAACCATCACTTTTGAATTTATTGGCTGTTAATCGAGCGATACTAATACCTGAGTTGGGTTCCTGAGATGGTTAGCTCTGCCTCCGATGAACTCCACAACAGCAACGCAAAAGCCATTGATGCGTCGGTGGGCGGTTTAGTTTGGGTTCGCCGGAGGAACGGGTCGTGGTGGCCTGGTCGGATTATGAGTATGGACGAGATTGCGGAGGGTAATTTGGTTTCGCCAAGATCGGGCACTCCAGTCAAGTTACTTGGCCGAGATGATGCTAGTGTGTGAGTGACACTTGCCTTCTGTTTCTTAATCATATTTTGAGTTGATAAAGTACTGCAAGTCTGTGTAATTGGGTGATTGGATTGATTGGTTTTTAGTTGTTGCAAGTGTTTGCTGTATTGCAAAGGAAGTTTTGTATTCGTTTCTGTCCACATAAATGTCTGAATGTGTTTGACTGTGCATTATTTTGATTTGCTGGGTGTTTAAAGTAGTCCTCAACCAAGGAAGTTATGTATTCGTTTTTGTCCGTACTTGCTTCTGCTTGTGCTGCTCTCCATAAGGTTCGTTAGCATGCCAGGTTAATTGATTCCCTCAAATACTTGACGAATTCGAGCAGGATAACCTTAACCTTGTGGTTCTTTGCTTCTGAACTTTCTTGTTTCTTTTTTTCCTTGGCATTATAATGCTTGCTACATGCATAAGAGCTTCTTGTTTGTGCTCTGGTCCTATGTTACTGCAACTGTAAGTTCTAGTTTCCTAACTTGTAGGTAGTTTGATAATGATCGAGTGACATTGCTGTCTTAATGACCTCTAAATTGGGTTGTCGTCTTAAGAACTTTGAGCTCAACATTCTCATATACTTGAGAAGTTTGTTGCATTGTGTTGTCAGAAAAAAAGCATTTGTTGATTTGCACAATCAAAGAGCTAGGAGACACAGTTCATTTCTTTTCAGTACCCGTTGTTCAACACCATACAGTACAATTTCCAATCTAGTTTCTCTATGTGCTAGGAGATGATTGGAGGTTCTTAGTTTAGATATTGACTAACTTTGCTTTGGATTATTTTGAAGTCACCTTCGTCTATGTCTCTTGACTCCTTGTAATTGTAGAGGCAGATCCTCAAGATGTTTTGACATCCTAGTTTATATGTATATTGACACATGCTCACGTGCTTCTTTTTGTGCTTTTCTGATTTGTGTATATTAAGTGTTTTGTAGTGCGACGCATGTCATAGTGTGCGTGATTGTGTTGTCTGTGTGTTTATGTGGCTGCCTCTTGATAGTACTATGGAAGGGAACTTTCATGGTTCTTTTTGTCTTTCAATGGTAGATGAAATTTTATTCTTGCTTGCTTTAATAGAAGCAATTGATTTTCACTTTCACGGCTTGGTTGGTGAGGGGGTTTAGAATTTGTTATGAAATCCAATGAGAAATAACGGTGGTCATTATCTTTGACAAAGCAAACATAAACTTTCTGTGGGAAATCTCTTTTAAATAGTATTTGAAGTTGTCTTTGATGGCAGACGACTATCATTATCTGTTGGTTTCTTGACTGCTATTTTGGTTGGCTGACTATTTTCGCATCGTGTTTTTGCTAATTTGTATAGGGATTGGTATAATCTTGAAAAATCCAAAAGGGTGAAGGCATTTAGATGTGGAGAATATGATGAATGCATCGAAAGAGCTAGGGTTGCAGCAGCAAATGGCAATAGGAAAGCAGTCAAATATGCTCGTAGGGAAGATGCTATTCTCCATGCTCTTGAGATTGAGAATGCTCGACTAGAAAGGGATCAACTTGAGGTAGCTTCTGCATCAAATAATCTAGAGCCAGCCAGAGAATCAGCAAGCATGTCTCTTTCGGGAAAAGTAGATGAGAATGTCATTGATGAGGCTAGTGATGCCAATGATTCAGGTTCTGGTTTGGTTCCGGACCAGAGTTCAGATGTGGATTCAGCACCCGAATTATCTCAATCTGGAATATCTTTTGAAGAGCCGAATCATGTTGTTGATGCATCTAAAGTGTCAGCTGGCTTAGTTAAAAGGAGAAGAACACCGAATGATTCTGAGGATGATGGGACAGAAGGAACAAAACGAATGAGAGGCCTTGAGGACCTGGGAATGGGAATAGCAGATTCTAATGTCGGTAATGGCAATCCTGTAAATGCAAACAGCAAAGTTTATTGTCCCTCCTTGAAAAGAAAGAGATCACAAGTGGCAAATGTCCATGAGTTCTTGAAAAAGAGAAATCGTCGCAGGCCTTTGACTAAGGTTCTGGAGAGTACAGTCATGGTGTCTGTTCCCATAAGCTGTGACCAAGTTCCCAGTACTAGTGGTTCACCCATTGAAGGGTTGTCGGACAGCAAGGTCTCTGGTTTGGAATCTAATGAATCTAAAAAGGGTCCATTTGCGGGCAATAACAACAACTCTGATAGCACTGTGGTTTCATGTGAGAATGGCGCCGTCTCCCTGAGTCCTCCTGGACATGCTGCTTGTGATGATTCTCTCACTGCCAAGGTGGCAAAAGAGAATGATAAAATTGGTGCAGCAGGGTTAGCTGAGGATGGCTCTTCAGATCAGTTGCATGATGTGCCATTTGCCGGGGTGGACAAACTCACTACAGGTATGCTTGATCGATGCAGTCCAAATTCCAATGCTTTTAAACTTATTCTTCCAGCAGGTCATGGCTTTTAGCAGTCTTCTATAGGATTCATAAATTCACACAGAGGACTTGCTCCTTTCTTTTCTCTGTTGATCAGTCACTAAGGTGTCTGATAGACCGCTTTGTTTGAAGATTGCTATCTGTCTAATTGCTACTCCTTGCAAGCCTTTACTGAAGTCGTTATGGGCTTTTCACTGGTGCATTACTTCTGATGTGGGAGGATTTGGTTTCAGCTGTTTTTTTCATGAAGTGGTTTGTTAATATATACACAGTTCAAATGAGCTAGTGTTGGTTTTTTGTCTTGAAGGGTTGCTGTATATCAGATGCAGACTTTGAGATGAGTAGGGTTACTACGTTTCTTTCTTTTTAGTCAAGGATCACTTGTTTCAGACGCTGAGCTTGTCTCATAAAATTTTCAGGTCTCTCACCAACACTCGCCTCATCTTCATCCCGAATCCATCTAGTTGGTGTATCAGGTGGGCAATCTAGTCCAACTTGTCTAGCAGAAACTGCACCATTGCAAAACGAGTCTGGTCCGACAACTTCGGCAGCAGCGAACAATATCAACAACCAGAGGATAGAGGAAGGTACTTCAAAATGGCAACTAAAAGGAAAGAGGAATTCCAGACACACAAAGCGCGGAAAACAAACTTCTTCCCGAAAATACATGGACTTGGACGAAGCAACTCCTGCTCATTACCCAGTAGTTATGGACCACTTGGAAGGACTCAATCAAACTTCCCAAGATGCTTCACTCGGTTTTGTTGCTAAAGATGAGCTCGATGGGTTTCAGGATTGGAACAGATCTATTGCTCTACCGCCTCAGAGATCGCTTCCATATCGACAGTCACGATTCATGCTGAACTCCAGGTATGAATCGGCAGACTTCCCCATCCGGAAAGTCTTAGGCGATGAGAAACTGTACGAGGTGAAGCTTGAAGTGAAATCCAACTACCGGCCACAGCATGTTCCGTTAGTTTCCTTGATGAGCAAGTTCAATGGTAAAGCGATTATAGGTCACCCTTTGACGGTTGAGGTTTTGGGCGATGGTGCTTGTGATCATATGGTGGGATCTACAACAACTGGATCATCTGTTGCTGCAACAACTTCAGCAGCCATTAGTGAAGCTCCTGAATTGGGTAGGAAAAACTCGTGTGGTAGTGGTGGGAGACGTGGTGGCAAGCGTATATCAAGGAAGAGGCGGCTTAAGAGGAAAGGCAGCAAGTTGAGGAAATCCGGGTTGTTATCTAAAAAGATCAGGAAGCTATCTTCACTCACAGGGAAGAAAATGGAAGGAAGAGAAGCTGCCTTAGTGGAGAAGGCAAATGGCGCTGTAATAGCTTGTATCCCACTCAAGTTAGTGTTCAGCCGGATAAACGAGGCATTGAATGGTTCTGCTGCATCATGACAACCACAAGCACACCTTGGTTTACATTCTTCGGGCGACTCGTGAGATCAGCAGCAATCACATCATTTGTGTGATCATTTTTCTTTTTGATTGAGTGGTATAAGAGAGCAGAAATAACATTTCTTGTTGGCGAGTTCCAACTCTCTGTTTGTGTAAATATGTAACAGTAGTCGAGTGAGATATATGGTTGTGTAAAGCTGGGGAAAGAGCATGCAAGAGCCAGATAGTAATTCAGCAGGCACCTTGGATCTGATAGGGTAGTTTTAGGTTTTGATGGATTAGTTAAAGAGAGCTTAATAACTTTGGATTTGGCCACTGCCCACATGTCAGGTCACTTAATCCAAACAAAAAGGGTAAAAGAAGAAAAAATAATCCTTTCATTGTTTCATCACTTGATTAAGAATAAGCCCTAACCCCCCCAGGGTATGCAAATTTGTTGCCACTGCAGGTCTCATGTTGCCTTCAGTGTCATTTCAGAAATTATTGGTGTGAAACGGTTGAACAACGATCTAATTACAAAATATCCTATCAGCTGGTTTAAGATAAGGCAATGCTCATCTGAGAGCCCTTGTGAATTACTACAAAACCAGCAACCCTGCGTAGAGAGGGAGAGAGATGGAGTTGCCTGCGATTATGACGAAGGTATGCTTCCCATTAATGGATGATCGATTTTTCTTGATCTGAAAAGGTAGGCGCTCTTGAATCAAGTAATATTTAGTGGTGATCGATGTGATTTCTTGGACAGTTCAAGATCAGAGGTTGGCAAGATAGGTGTTGTGATTTCTGATTTGCCATGACATGTGTTTTCCTGAACTAGCTATGCTCTACAGAGATCAAGGTTCAGTTCTAACAAATGAAGCTTTCTCGTCCTTGATTTTGTGGCTTGTAAATTGGGATTGAGATGCAGTTACGAGATAGCTACAGGGGTCGGCATAATCTGGGGCATTCAACATGATCACAGGTGAATTGCTCTGGGAACTGGTTCCGAGAGCAAGGTCTGGATATAAAAATCATTGAAATTCATGTTCCTGAATATGTTTTGGAAATTCCATCTCTCGTAACAACTTCATCCTTTCCATATTCAGGGCAGTTGACAATCAGGTACATCACAACATGCATCATCTTCATCTCATGTCCCACAATCTGCCGTTTCTTGGGTTATACAAGAAACAAGTTGAAAACCAACTTATGGTTCAATGTTGTTTGTTGTTAGAAACCTATTTCTAGGGTTCTAACGATGGAGTGATAAGATTGGGAGTTGATAGATATTTAGGGATTGAGATAGAATTGGGGAAGAACAAAATTGGGGATTAGGGATTTAGAAGAGGAAATTGGGGATCGAGGAGAAGAATGGCCGACGGCCTAGGGATAGGTGACGAATTTGAGAGGATTTGGAAGAGAATGGGGTTTATGGATTTTCTTAATATGCTTCTTATTGATTCTGAATGGAAGCCCAAAGTACATATATATAGGAAATAGTGGAAAATCCTAACAATAAACTTAATTCTATTAAATGACTACTAACCTTATTGATAATTACCCTAATAATAATTATATTAATAAATAGAGAAACCCTACAGAAATCGGTTTCTAACATCTCCTCCCCCTTCAGACCAACCTTGCCCTCAAGGTTGAACCACTTGACCCACTCTTTCGTCCTTCTCGCGCACTCTGCACGCTGACTCCATTTCTTGCGCTTCCGTTTCTTCCAATCGTGCTCCAACTCCAATATTGGACTTCTTCCACCAACCTTCTTGTGCTTGTCTTTTTCTTCGACCTTCACTTCCCTGGGCCCACTATACGCTTCCTTGACAAATTCGTACTTCAAAAACTCCACTTTTGTCGCCCTCACAATCCCCCAACTCAAGGAACCCAACGATTCATTCGTGTTGAAGAACCCATCCTTGAGTACCATTACATCAAGGCCTTCATACATTTTTCTTAGAACAAGCCCATAACTCTGAATTGTTGCTTCTTTCCTTAATTTTGGGCCTTGCTCTCCTAAAAGCCCACCAAATAAGTTTTCAAACTCATTTTCCTTTTTCCTCCAAACCCACCTTCATCAAAACACAATTTCTATTGGGCTCAAGTACTCCTTGCAGACGCGACCCAATAGTCTTATTCTTCGGCCCAGAGACTGGTGCAAGAGTCTGGATCCTTTCAAACTTCAGGTGCAACTCCAGGTTATGGTCGGCCCCTTTCTTTCTTAGCTGAGGCCCGCGACTTGACCCAAACGAAGACCAAGTAACAAAATTTCTAGCCCCAATCAACTGGTTTAGTCGGCCCAGACCACGAATCAAGCTCTTGTGGCCCATCTCCATCCCCTGGCCCGCTCGCCCCGACCCTTCCGGACTCATGGTCCAAATAGCACCGCAACCCACTAGATCTGGCTGCTGGGTGGCCCATCCTAGGGTTGGCTGCTGGGATGCGAGAGAGGCAACAGCGATGCCCTCCCTCTTCTTCACTTTTCCCAGCCAGCCCTCGACCGGCGGTGAGGCTGCTTCCGACCTCGTCGGCTCCTCGCTCTCCCGCGGGTTCTTCTTCATATCCTTCTCCAGCGGCGCGAGTAGCAGCACACCGACGCCGACGTCCCCGATCAACGGCTGTTCGCATCTGAGAGCAGTACAACCTCTGACTTCCTTCTTAGACTCATTGTCTGCCGCGCAGGTCCTTCGCTCCGCCATCGTCGTCGCGACTGTAATTGCCGGTGACCGCAGCGCCTCCTCTCCCTTCGCGATCGGCGACTCGATTACCCCGCTGAATCCTCGAACAGTGTGAGGATGGAAGACGTCGTCACCCTCCTTCTCTTCCTCTTCCGGCAGCGCGTACCTCACCAGACAACAAGGTTTCCGTCGTTCTACTAGACTCGGCTTCATCTTCTCTCGCTCTTCCTCTGGTGGCGAATCGCCCATCGGGCAATTGAGTGGCCGGCCCACTTCCACCTTCTCCCCGTTGATTGGCGCCTCGAACGGCTCCTTAGCTCTCGCCTCTTTAGTCCCGACCGAGAGAATTGCTATTTTTGGGGATTCATCGGAGGTGGCTGGTGTTGGCGGTGATGGCAGGATTGGATCCGAGACAACCTTCCGTACTGCGATAGCTGTCTTTGTCATTGGGATAATGACAGTGGTTGATGGTGCCTTCTGTTCATCCCGTCCAGGATGCTGCGGTTCTGTCACGGTGACGGGTATGGCTGTTGCGGCTGGTGTCTCCTCAATGGCCAACTGCTCTTCGACTTGGCCTTGAAGCGGAGAGTGCACAGGGAGGACAATCCAGCCACCGAGTGCAGCGAGAGGGTCAGCGGTGGTTCGCTGGTTGTGCACTTCTCGCCGGCGTCAACTACCGCAGCGCGCTGCTCGGATCGCCGCTCGCCATCACACGGGTCGGCCTTGATCGGCGGTGGTGGCCGCTCGCTGTCGGCTACTCGGGTCACCGTCTCTGCTTGCACGGTCGGCGACTCTTCGGAGCTCCAACGGCGTCCGATGCGGCGAGCTCGGTCACGCAGCTCTGCCCACGACAGTTTCGAGAGCCTCGAAGAGCTCATCGTCGAACCAATTGTAGAACTTGTCCCCGGTTGAGAGTTGTGGTGAACTCAATTCTCGAACCGGGCTCTGATACCAAATGTTAGAAACCTATTTCTAGAGTTCTAACGATCGAGTGATAAGATTGGGAGTTGATAGATATTTAGGGATTGAGATAGAATTGGGGAAGAACAGAATTGAGGATTAGGGATTTAGAAGAGGAAATTGGGGATCGAGGAGAAGAATGGCCGACGGCCTAGGGATAGGTGACGAATTTGAGAGGATTTGGGAGAGAATGGGGTTTATGGATTTTCTTAATATGCTTCTTATTGATTCTGAATGGAAGCCCAAAGTACATATATATAGGAAATAGTGGAAAACCCTAACAATAAACCTAATTCTATTAAATGACTACTAACCTTATTGATAATTACCCTAATAATAATTATATTAATAAATAGAGAAACCCTACAGAAATCGGTTTCTAACATTTGTAGCAACATGTTCACCTTCACGATGCGGGATACACCATCCGGGGTCACTCCACTCTCGTTGGATCGGTACTGCTAACTCGATCATTTGACTGCTGCTGTTGTTTTCTACCATTGCGAATTCAGTTAAGAGAGAGGTTTCAGAGAAGTGATTCATGGTGTATTGTGGGATAATGCAGTTCGGGGAGATGACTGCTACTTGTGGCCATGAAGAGACGGTGGTAGTTGTTGAGGTTGACTTTTTTTTTTGTTGTTGTCAAAGATATTCTCAAAAGGGAACAACTATATACGAATTGGAAGCCTTTTCAGGTAACCGTAATAATACATATAAGAGAAAGGGACGACGGTCGATAAATAGCCGAACCATCGATAAGAGAGCCTTTTCGCCACATAACGGGCAACTCTTTATACATATACGGCAAGGGCAATATCCATGATTTCTATCCTATAAAAAGGGAAATCATGAAACTAACCGTGCTGAAAGTGAAGTAGAGGAGCAAACCGTTCCAATCTAGGCAGGAAAAAACACCTATGAAACGACAATAGTAAGCTTCACTCGCCAAGGCTAAACCGCCATTCCTCCAATGACTCACTCCAAAAGGCTGGATAAGCAATGTACCTTACAAAACACACCAGAAAAAAACTAAAATCGGCCCAAAAATGGCATTTTAGAATCTATCCATGACACTCTTCTAATTGAATAGCTGGCTGTGCGCCTGTGCATGCCATGCCGCGCACACTAACACTATGTTCCCGAAGGAAGGGAGGAAAATGGAGGGGAGGGGAAGGGAATTAGGAGGGGAGGGACAATTTGGAGGTTAAGGAAAGTGGAAGGAAAATGTTGTTTTATAAAGGAAAGTGAGAAGGAAAATGTGTATTGGGAATTGTGATGTATATGTTATTTTTTTGGGTATGTAATAGTGAAATAATTTAATTATATATAGATATTATTTTCATTGCTTATAAATTGTGAATTAAATTTTTACTTTCTTGATAATTTTGTTCACTATTAAAAATCAAAAGTATATCATTTGAGAAAAGGTGTCAACATACTATTAAAATTTCGTTTGCTATTTTGTTGATTTATCAACATACCACCTAAAAACATAAACAAATAACACATCACACTGCACATACACAAACTCTTCTAAAAGTAGGTCATCTGCTAATATTATACATATATAAGTTCGTCCAACAGTCTGGTAAAACTTTCCATACGATACAATTTTACAAACATTGATTTTAATAAGCAAATAAGATCACATTCCATAATTATATTTGCCTATAATTATTCATGATAAGATCCTTTCCTAAATTATGTTTAACAAGAAATAATTTATTTAGAAATAAAAAAATGTCCAAGAATATTTTAAAAATACGAATGATAGACATGTGAAGTGTAATACTTATA